CCCCCCCCCCCCCCCCCCGCAATCCATACTGGACACCCTGCCGCTCACCTTGGCCTCGCCCTCAACTCTCCCCGTAACGCAAGCCAGCAGGCCCAACCCCTGACCCCGCCCACCCCACCCGCCGGATAGGGTCATGAGCTCCGCTGACACCGCCTTATCCTTGTGGATGGAGCACATGCTGTGGAGTTCCGGCTGTGGTGGTGTTCGGTTTCGGGGCGAGGGAAGGGAGAGGTGGTTAACCGGTTGAATAACCCATGGATAAATTGTGTCATGGTCTTTTTGACCATATGGTCGAGTTTTGCCAGGGGAGGGGGGGTCCTCGTTTGCTTCATGACTGTATGGCACCGTTGGATTCTTGGCCACAGGTCCACCCCCCCCCCCCCCCTCCGAGTGGTGGCAAGAGGTAGGGGGGGAGTCCACATACGTACGGAGGGATAAATCAAGTGGAAATACGTCGCAAGAGAGTATCACAACCACCAACAACGCGAGCCGAGTCTATGCGGAACAAATGGACACCCAACAACGTTTTGAAGTAAAGTCATCACCTGTTGATGCCGGTGAAGCAGCGGCGGCACCGTGAGCAGCATGAGACATCGCAACGCGCTCTCCGCCACCGCGTCATCCCCAGCAGCTAGCAGCGAGCGCAGGTGCTGCGAAATAAACAACATAATTACATGAAAAACAAGTGTTGGCGGCACACGTGTTGCACCGAGCGGCGGCAGCAGGGGTGAAGAAATACGACAAGCAGGGGCGAGCACAAGCAGTTTGAGTATTTTCAGGAAGCACCGCAGGATTCGGGGTCGGGAGAGCAATGCAGACCTGAGGAAGTAGCACCACCACCACTACCACTACCACCGCACGCCGTTGTTCAGCAAGCACCGCGAGATTGGGGTCGGGAGAGCTAGGACCGAGAAAGTAGTACCACCACCACCACCACCGCACGCCGTTGTTCAGCAAGCACCGCGAGATTGGGGTCAGGAGAGCTAGGACCGAGAAAGTACCACCACCACCACCACCGCACGCACGCACCTCGGCCGAGCTGAAGACGTGCTTGTTGACGCAACTTCTCATCAACACCGCCAGAAAGTTCAGGCAGCAGAGCACCACCTCGCCCGCCGCCGCTGCCGCCACCGCTGTGTCCTCGCTACCGTCACCGCCAGCATCCCCGCCCCCACCAGCACCAGCGGCGGGGAGCTTCTTCTGTTGCTGGTGGTCGGCGGGCTGGATGAGCAGCAGTGACGGGTGGCGGAGCATGTTCGTCTCGAGCGTCTCGTCCATTCGGTCCAGCACATCGCACCTGACACCCAGCCGAGGTGTTGTTCGTGCGCCGTCATTACAAGGGGTAGGATTAGCGGGGGGGGGAGGGGGGGGTGTACTCATAGTCGTGCATGCCGTAGTCGTTTGACCATTGACCTCGCATCCCTACAAAGCCGGGACGGAGCACGCCGGGTTCTCACCGGACCAGGCTCTCACATCACCAAGCGCGAAGCGCCGTGAGGTATTTGGCGAGTCGCATGAAGGGTGAGCTGCATCCTGCTAAGGGTGTTCGGCATCTTGTGCTTACTTCCTTGCGTACGGATGACAGCTACGTATGACTTAATGTATTTTCTGGTGTTTTCACTTCCAGAGCCAGTTGTAAGCACTGTGTAACTGCCTCGAGGAAGCTTGACCATTTTAACACAACGTGGTGCGATCATCCCCCGTTGCGCGGAGTGAGGTTTCTCGACCCCGCACAACATGATCTACTCGACCACCATTATGGTTACCGCCAAAAAAAAAAACCGAGGTAAAAAAAAAAACCGGTAACCTGGTTGCCGAGTTCACGAAGTTAATTGGCTTGTTTTACAACGTCGTTGCCAAGCGACGAAAACCCAATCCCGATGGCAAACACCGAGTGGGGGGCTTGTTTTACAACGTCGTTGCCAAGCGACGAAAACCCAAACCCCGATGGCAAACACAGCGGGGGGGGGAGGGGGGGAGTATTCCATGAAGTTATGTAGCGTCGGTCAAGCAAACAAGCAGCAGCACCTGCAAATAAATCGGCCTCAGCGGAAACAAAACCAGAAACAAAAAACGCACGCTTTCTAGCGAGTGCGCACGCGCCTTCCTTGGTCGTTAGCACTGACTGCGTTCACCGGCCCATTTTACAACAAAGAGGATTATTCTTGAACGGTCCCAAGGGCTCTGCTATGTTTCTCAAGAGAGCTTTTCTATTTTTCGCGCGGGTGATACCAACAAGCGTACTTCAGCACGGCCCTTCTCTTAGCGCCTTGCACCTATATGCATTCGTATGCATACCACGCAAAACAAAAAGCCTGAAACCCCATAAAACAGGAGAACTCCATCGCAAAACAAACACCACCCACTCCGGCATCGTAAAAAAAAAGCTTCCATGGTCTCTGGGACCCCTCTCTCTGGGACCCCGCACATCACCTACCATGCGGGTGCACTATCACCACCACCACCACCACCACCGCCAACCGATGCGCGACTCACCAGTCGTAGAGGTCTGGCTGCTCCTCCCATTCGTCCTCCCCCTTCACCAGCTTCAACGCGGCGATCAACTCCGCATCGGTTTTGGCTTCGAGGATGGCGCGCTGGAAATAATATCGGTTCGCGCGAGCATCACACAGAAACAACAATCAATGGGCGATTTCCACTAAAGCTTTTATTTTTATTGTCCTAATGCGACCCAACGAATCCATCTCTATCTAAGAAAAGAGTCTAAGATAGGTCAGCGTCTTTTCTGTCTCAGCGCTGGGCAAAACGAAAAAAACACACGGATATCTCCATCGCGAACACATCACTGAGGAGAGGGGATGGGTTCTAGAGGGCATGTAGCAGAGGGTAGAGGCGGCCCAAAACAAAGAGAGGCTGCAGAGGAGACTCTTTTGAGAACTTCTAAGGGCATTTTTCAGGGTCAAAGTGTGCGAAACCGCACCACCAAGTCCGGTACAGCACACAGCCAGAGTTCGATTTTGGACTCGCATTAGGGAACAACGCTGGGCGTGAGCATCTGTCTGCCCGTTGATAGATGGCCGGCTCAGAAAGCGGCGCCACCGCGAGAACCCAATATTTCGCCTCAAGGCTTCATCAAGGCCCGGGTGCTACCGTTTTTTCCCCCTGCGGGCTCAAAACGACATTAGCAGTCTCACCAAAGGCAAAAAAAAAACCGCGTTCCAAGATGTTAATCCTACTTCATGTACAACAATCACGCCCGTGCACACGCTCCGCGCTTGTCCTCGTCGAAGTGACACCCGCACGTCGTTCGAAGGCAGACGGCATGGAACAAACCACAGGCACTACTGCTGTCTAGCGATGCCCCTACTGCCCGTGCCCCCCGTTGCTCACAAGTACTTCGCCGGTGGGGGGACGGGGGACGGGGGGACGGGCAGTTGTTGTGCTAGTAGCGGTAGCAGTGGCAGCAGCAGCCGTAGTAAAAGTAGCAGCAGCGGTAGTTCACAAGCGATTGAAGCAGCAACACCAACATTTTGAATAAAGTAGTAGTAGGACGTGGCGAGCATGCCCTACCTTCAAGGGCTCCAGTTCTCTAGAGAGGCGAGGTTCGGGTTGGCCCACCCCCCCCGCCCCGGAGGATGCCCGAATACGCATGGCCCTGACAAAAAAGGTACACCAGGGCCTTTCATGCACATGATGATAAAAGAGACAGAATGAGGTGGACAGCACAGAAGAAGGGGGGGGTACGAGAGAAGGTACGGCGATAGAACAGAGCAAAAAGAAAGGGAGGGCAAAAACGAGGCAAAAGGGGGACGAGCGTGTAGGGCGGGCGGGAGAGAAAGCACAAGAGGAAACGTAGGGAGGGGTGGGGGGAGGCAGACCACCAATATGGTGAGAGTTGTATGCAGCAAGAAACGCAAAAGTACCCCAGTAGACGAAATGTGACAGTAAACAAAAAAAAGGCGACGGGAGATAACACGGCGGGGAGTTACCGACTAAATGGGGTCGTCGGGCGATGGAGGTGCATTGGGCACGAGTACCAGGACCTACTCTCACTCCTGTCTACATAAGTTTGCACGACAAGTTTTGGGTGAACCTGCTACCGTTTGCTGTAGGTTGCGTAAGATATCACATCCCCTGGACCGATTTTCAAAGCTCGATTACTCCACGACGAAGAGGATGCCAAAATTGAAGGAGCACACGTTATCGGAACGCTCTCGACGAGACGGTTCCAACGCCGCCATCTTGGGCACCGTCACTGCTTTCCTGCCGAGACATCGAGCTTCCAAAATTGATCCGGGGGGTGTGGTATCTAATGCAACCTACGGTACTTGCCGTGCAGAGCACGGGAGAGGGGGAATTGCATAGGGGGCAGAGCGCTTTCCTCGAGTGCAGACAACAACAGCAGTGCACAGCTCTACCAACACAACCAGGGACTTGAGAATTGCTGTGGAACCCTCGCCCGCTTGAGGGAGTTTGCTCGTGCTCTGAGGAGCCCTCGTGTTAGTTTCCTAACCTCAGAGATGCAAGACCGTCGGTTGAACACACCAACCACGCAGCACACAGCTCTTTCATTGTTCAGGACTGACCTCGACGAACACAACAGGACGAGAAAGGCAGGGGCCGAGACAAGACGCAACACCAACTACAGTACGTCGAAACTCGAGCCAGGCCGCGGCACCTCTCTCAACCCTCGGGTTTTGTTATCCCATGACGCCAGTTTTTTTTGCACACCGTGCGGTAGGCTTTGAACGCACCAGCCGGGGGAAAAGGTGATTATCTCTGTACATGCGCGAGATGTTGTGTGTTTGTTCATGCCATATATTTTTCTAGCGGTAAGCGGAAAGCTGCTCGAAGAGGCCACCGCAGCCGCTGCTGCTGCTGCTGCTTCTGCTTCTGCACAGCAGCAACAACGGCTACCACTCACTACAAGTAGGTTCCGGGACCGAGGTGTTCACCCATTGAGGGCGGAGGAGGCACTAACCATGGGCACCTTAACCGCGGAACGAGAATGTCGCAGCGCTTCCAGATCTAGCTGCTACGTGACCTGTGCAGCTATTGGTCAGATTTGTTGGAAGGCCCCAAGGCTCGGGATTTCAAACGGACTCAGCAACATGTCGGAACACCTGACAATCACCCACTCAGCTGTCGTCTTCATTTGCCTACAGCAGTAGATGTACCTCAAGGGTCGGTCGAGCAGAAACACGCGCCGTGAATCGCGACGAAGTGTGTACAACGCAACGGGTGATGTGATTTACTTCTTTCTGCCTTGCCCCCAACCAGCATGTTTGTCGCCTGTACCTGTGATGTAGATTAACGCCGTGGGACACGAGTCCGTCGAACTACATGTACCACGACATGCTTACAACCTACCACAAAACACTGCTGTTGCCATCCCGAGCAGACTATTTGTCAGGTTAAGCGTGCCTTCGCCGTGCTAAATAGTCACAACGACGTTCTGCTGGTAAAAGTTAAGTGCGTGCCTAAAGCGTGCCAACCACGATATCTGGGTGCAAGCGTCGCTGGCCTTGATGGAGGGGGGGGGGTGCACATAATATATGGGAGGGGGGGTCTCTCCCTTGGCGCCGACCACTGGCGGGTTGGATGGAGTCTGTACGGCCTGTATGTTGCCTACGGAATCATGATAAATGAGGGAGTAAAAGCATACTCCTGCGAAACGTGGTGCGAAGAATACGCAGCCACCATGAAATCTGGATGCGCGGGTCCCTAGATATAGATCTTCTTGTGTTGTCTGCGAGCGGAGAGACGAGGAAAACATGTGAGGCAGCCACTCAAGACCAGGGGAACAACCAACTCTTGGTCTCTCCATTTCTAAGCTCCGCCAAGCATAACAAAGGCAGTCTCAGGTAGGCGTCCTCCAGACACAAGAAGGGGGGGAGGCGTAGCCCTTCTGCGCGCGAGCTCTCTTGAGAGCAAAAAAAGGCAGAGGAGGTGATGATCTGCCGGCAAGAGACTGCTGCTGGACGCACGGCCCCCTCCTCAATTCTCCCACTTTGTTTCGCCTAATGTCCCCTTTCTTGGAGTGGTTGGTACTGCTGTTAGAGTGAAGCACAGCTGAGGACTCGCGCTTTCATGATACTTCTCGCAGCCGCGGTTACCTAGGTTCCAACGCGTGTGGTGCAGTGGGTTTGATTGCCCTCTGGCTGAAGCAATCTTCGACGAGTGACCGCCGGTGGACAAGAAAGATCCGTTGTGCAGCAGCCAGTATATTAGGGGGATTTGATGTGCCTTGGTGCTCAGCGGACGGAAGTCGAAAGAGAGATGTCCAGAGAGAGATGACTACTTGTGCCCTAGTCCAGCAAGGGCGTGTGCCCAACGGATATGCACGCAAGAATAGAGCCAATCTCACCCGTGGCAGCGGGGGGGGGAGGGGGGAGTTGCACTCCTGACAGCAGAGCGGCAGCAAGGTTGAAACCCAAAGAGAGCAAAGGACCTCTAGAATCGAGTCGGTTCTCAGCGAAGAAACAAAAATGCAGTGCGCGGAGCGAGTGTATTTTCTGCAGAGTATTTCTTGCCCAGGACACGCGAAAAAAAAGTGAGATATACATTCGGGGAACCTCGCGCCTGGTGCGGATCTCAGCTTTGGACGTATAACTTTCAGAGACAAGGGACCTGCATCGTGCCATATCATCCATGGCTTTGTGGAGGCTGTTCAAAAGCTGTAGAGGCGCAAAAGCGCACACAAGCTTTGGGTGAGTGTACAAGTAGTCCATGCTGAAAAGAGGACGCGGCATCACGATCCCCGGCACACAGGGCACCAAAAACATCTTTGCACATGGCGCACCTCAATACCCTTGCAGACGCAAGCCAACAGTTGCGTGCTCTCTTCTACTCCTTGCTCCCCTCTGGTCGTCTCTCTCGCGCTCTCTCCCTGGGTTGCAAAAGAAAATGAGCTGTGGTGGTGTGTGTCCTCTTGCAAAAACTGGGGAGCCCCGCAGAAAGAAACGAAGCTCTCTACAGGGGTTTCGTAAATATTCAGGCAGTTTTCCTAAATTGCCCCCGCGGCTCCGCCACCCTGTCGTTGTGTCGGCTCTGTCGCTTTCGCCCAGCTCGCTCTATCCTGCCACTCACCGATCAGAGACACACCAGGATTCAAGCTAAGAAAGCCAGGGGACCGCTCGCAAGATGGTGTCGTTCAAGCAGGAGCACTCAGCAGGTATCTGTTTTTGATAGAAGACCACGACGAGAAGAACATGCGGAGAGTTGTCGATTTTTTTTTGTCTCTCTGCTCCCTGCCCGGCAGGTTCAAGCGACCCGCCTAGTTATGCCCTTGACCTATCACCAGCGGGAGTCTCGACGGACGCCCGAGGCCAAAAGCGTGGATTTGGGATTAACACTCCTCACGCGAGAGAGACATCCAGTTATTTGTTCGTCGTCGATTGAGCGGCGCTTTATTTTCCTATCCCTACCCTCCTTTTCTCTCGAGGCCGGGCAAGTTTTGGGAAGTTGGAGCTCCTCGACGTACTGCTGTAGCTCTGTCCACGTGGTTGAACAACAAGCCCACGCTGCGCTCAGCACATCGGAGAACCTTGTCACTCGTTTCAAACCATTGGTAGTAGGTCTGGCGGCGCGAGATCCCTAGCACTTGGCTGTTGAATCGCGCGAGGAGGAGGAGGTGGCTCTCGCGGCGACCATCAGGAACGACGCTGACTTTTTCAAGAATCGTTCGCAGTAAAGCATGTCATCGTACGACCTCGTGTACTGGATACTCTCCTCTCTCTTTCTCCGCACCACATCACGAACCCAGCAGTTACGCTCGACGCCTGCGTATACCTTGGTGGAGCCCGTGCTTTTTTCCTTGTCCGCCGTTCCTCTTCCACGGTGCCACAAGTAAAACTCGTAGCTTTCATTGAACATTTGGGACTTGAACTTGAGTTGAAGCTTTTTCTTCTGAAAGAATGTATGCGAGGGTTGGCTAAGATGCCACACGCTTCTCTAGTCGGAAACCCTCACTTGACACACACTATTATAATACAATTTTACCAATCGCTCGTATTTGCTTCTGCTCACCCCCCCCCGCGCTGCCGCCGCCTGCCTCGGCCGAGAGCAGACAAGAGGAAATCGGAAGCGGAGCGGATCCGTGCCAAGTACCCGGACAGGATTCCAGTGAGTACCAGATGCTGTAGAGTACGTGGGCGTTTTGGCGCGCAGCTGCTGTACAACAGAGCCGCTGCTTGGCCCAAGAGGTCACAGATGAGTCGACATCGACACCTAAATAGGTAGACACCCGTACCGTAGGTGACATGACATGACACTAGATACCACACTCCCCTGGACCGATTTTCGAAGCTGGAGTACTCAACAGGGAGGAAAGAGATGCTTATTTAATCGTGGCGTTGGAACCGTCTCGTCGAGAGCTTTCCGAAAATGGAGTATCAGACATCCTCTCCGTCGTGGAGAGTGTTGATATTCTGTCCAGGGTGTATGATATCTCATGTCACCAGCGGGTGGCTCACTGGCTGTGTGTATAGCTCGTGGGATGATGTGTCTACAAAAAGAGCGAGAGTTCGGACGGAGGCAACGATGACGATTTAACACTGTTTATAGAGTGCTTTTTTGGGTGGGGGTGTGTGATGACCAGAGCGAGATATACTCCCTCTGTGTAGGTTTTGTATGGTGACTGTGGGGGTCGGGCTCTGGGTTGACAGTAGGACAGACACGTGGCAAATAGCCTCTGTGCGGAGAGACCCAGGCCGGATTGTTAAAAATTGAAAGAGGCAACGTGGAGAAGCAACCGCAAGGCTCCGATGTAGACTCAGGTTCACGTTTTCCAGGCAGATGCGCTCGTTCACGCTGGCAGGTTCTACAGGAGCTTGTGGTTCGTAAGGAGCTTGTGTCGTAGGGCCCTTGCGGCTGTCCTTGCGAGTGTGCCACCGTGCTGATCGACCTTCAGCCACCGTGCTACGTTCGCGGCTCTTTCAGTGGCATCTACGAGGCACGACATACTAAGCTTAGCTGGGTGGTTTTCCTTGTTTTTTTTGTGTGTTCTCCCAGGTGATTTGCGAAAAGGCAGACCGCAGCGACATCCCGGACATCGACAAGAAGAAGTACTTGGTGCCCGCAGACCTTAGCACTGGTGAGCGGGAAGTTGGTTGGGCAGGGGAGGGGAGGCGATGGTATGTGGTGGGTGGTTGGGGGCATGAAAAGAATTGAGGTTTGGTCTATGGTGGAGAGCTCGTGTTCCCGTACACACGTGCCACAAAACTGCCTACCTCCGACCTCCAGCTACCGTAATCGCCCCCGTTGGTTGTTCCCTTGTGTGCCAAGGCAGAGATTTTTTTACCCCAACACAGCACGCAAAGGAAAACCCGGTCTTTTTACCCTTTTTACACGCACGACCAGTTCCAGAGACGTGATATATCTTGTCTTGCCGTCACTCGTTGATTGAGATTGTATCCGCGATACCCTCGCTTTCTCCCGTCACCCAGGCCAGTTCATCTACGTGATCCGCAAGAGGATCAAGCTGGACCCCGAGAAGGCCATCTTCATCTTCGTCAACGATACCATACCACAGACCTGTGAGTAGTGGCGGTGATGGGGGGGGGGGGAGGGTGTCCGTGTCAATCAAGATTTTTTATTGCGTTGTTGCTGAAGTGTTGGGTTTAAGGTTACTAAAAAAGAGAAATTATTAATAGAAACTTGACCTTGAGAACCGTTGCCCAGCAGATCAGAACCCTACCATGAGCACCTAGCCGCCGTTGGGCAACCACTCAGGGGGGAATAAGAAACGAGCCTCAGAAAGAATAATTGGATCTTTACATGTGACGGCGCCACTTGTCTATCGCGCCTCGTCACTGGTCCTGTATCGTTTGCTCGTTGCTCCTTTCCACGCGCTCACCGCTTTTTTCGAACCACTGCTGCCCCCACCGCCGCCTCCGCCCACACACCATGCCAGCTGCACTAATGTCTCAGGTATACGAACACCAGAAGGACGAGGATGGCTTCTTGTACATCACCTACAGCGGAGAAAACACGTTTGGGTAAAACGAAAGGCCAGCCGGTTGCCGGCTAGCGAGCGACCGGGCTGCTGTACAAAAAGAGGGCACTTTTAAAATTCCGAGGCAAAAAAAAAAATGAACAAAAGCGTCACGGAAAAAGGACCGGATCGATAGGAACGTTGTGATGGTCGAGATTTTATGCATAGCTCGTCTTGTTTTGATCTGCGTACTGGCCGGGTTTTGGGGGGAATGTCGGCGGGGGGATGGAGGTAGGGTGGTGGGGCCTCGAGCCAAGCCACTTCACATGTCTACCTACGCAAGCGGAGCACAGATGCCCATCGTGTAGGCGAAGTGTTGGTCCAGGTGCACGGATGTAAGGATGTCGGGGAGAGCACGAACCTGTTTCGGTTGGATTGGAGATTTCGGAGACTTCGGATGCTGCAGAGGTACTCGAGGAGGAGGAGGAGGAGGAAGCTAGTGTGTTTGGCGTAGCAGCAGCAGCAGCAGCAGTTGGGTCGCGGTGTTTTGGGCTGTGAGGCTGATTTTGCCCGGAAGGAACCGGCCGGATCTCTCGGGGGTGCTAACAACCGACCGGCCCGCTTGATTGTCTCCGTCCTTGTCGTGGACGATGGTGGGTGTTCGTGAGTCGGAGTCGACGGGGCCACGCGTACACGATGCTACCGCCAGGTCTGGCATGGATTTTCGGGAAGCACATTACAACTACCATTATAGAAGGTTGGGCGGCGCAGCTGCTGCAGAAAGCCATAAGCGTGATGACCTTCCAAGAGCAGCAGCTTGAGGGGGGTGAGTGATTGGTGATTGGTTGGTTGCAAGAGGATCGTGTTCGCTGGCCGCAGCCCGCGGAACGAAACCAGATGCCGACGGGATGGGTATTCCTGGGGGGGAGGGGGGGTGAACAGCAGTAAGCAGCGATTTGGATGGTGATGGTTGTTTAGCGAGGCGTCTCCTGGGTTGGCGCGTGTCTGGGCGGGTGGTCACTCGTTTGTTGTTTCGGCTGCGAGAGAAAGAGCCGCTCTGCTGGCTCTTGGGTTCTACCGGTGCCTTGGACCGTCCGGGGCGGGGCGCTCCTGTGCCCTGCTTAGCTCTTTCGTGCGTACGATGGCGTTATCGCGGACGAACACGTCGGTAGGGCCTGCGTTAGCTGGCTGCCCCTGACGGGCGGGGGGCGTTGGTAGGCTCGCCGTAAAGGAAGTTCAACCGTATCTCGTAACACGCGTTGCCTGGTTCGTTGTCGTGGCCGTAAGGAAAGAGATGGTTCAACCGCAGTACATAAAAAAACGAAAATGCTTGGTTTGGTTCCCGGGGACTCGAGTGTTGCGGATCTTTGGGCTTTCTGTTCTGGTCGCGGGGTGGCACCGAACACGTGCTGTACCACAAGTCATATCGTCGTATATAATGTACATCTGTAAGGTTCTTTATGGACTCGTGTAAGGTCGTCAAAGGAAGGCGCGCGACTCAGGGAGAATGGGTTGGAGGTTGTTCTTCTCGCTGAATAAGCGCGGGGCATGGCCAAGAGCACGCCTGACATGCCCCAACAGACAGCGGTGTTGTCTCGATCCTTGTTTCAAACCATGCACAGCTGGTGTATACTGGGTGGCCGCGCAAGAGTTTTGCGGCCGGTGGCATGGTTG